CAAAATGTAACTATTTAGGCAAAAAATGGTTTCGTTCTAAAAGTCACCGCTAGGTGGCCAAGTGGCGCTGTTCCCTCTCACATGTAGTAAGGCATTTCTAAGGTATATAAGTAAAAACTATACTTTTCTCGTAAAAATATCATAATTCTTGATACTTTTTATCCATTTCAAGGTATGGTTACTAATTTTGATAAGTTTTAAAGTACCTAATGACTTTTTAAAGAAAAAAGAAAGTATTTTTCTCTTAAATCCGTAACATAATATCGAAAATTACTCGTTCTTCGTTGGATATTAATTTAACGAGCCATCGGGATCGTTGCGCAATGAAACGGTAGCTGGAGCATACTAATGGGGGTTATAGGTAAACCCCCACCTCTAGCCCCTCAACCCGGACGAAATAAATTTCCCTACACTTACACTTATCCGTATTATACTATACTATCGCGGAGGATGTTAAAGGCTCGAGTATTTATGTAACTAGCAACCTCATTTGGCCTTACACATTTCCACACTACTACCTTCACCCCCCCCCTCCCTCTTTACCCTCTCCAATGTATCGCTATCGGATGTGTTTGTTGCGTCTAATAGTCACGGTATTCGTATTAGTAACACTGATGAAAAGTGTGGGTGTAAAGTGCAAACAGGTGAGGCAATGGAGAACGGGGGGGGGGGGGGTAGAGTGGGCTGTTAATACTCGTGTTAATTACTCCAGGCTCGTTACTGCTGCCGATAAATTAATATTTCAATTACTATTTTACTAATGTCGCAAACAATAGGGTCCACATTTCTATCATGGTCGAAATGATTTTGGTAATCAAGAATTAATTAATATTCTTTCTTATGTGAATTTTAATAGAAACCTCTATGGCGTCTTTTTAGATAAGGCACATTGATTCAATACTTAGAAATAGACATGGAGACATTGAATATCTAATAAATGGAAGTACATGAAAATCTTCCAAGGTGACAGACACCCGTTGTCAGGACCGTGACACTAATACTATTTCAGCTGGATGACGAACTGGGTGGAGAAAGGAAGAATAGAGCTGTGAAAAATTCAACACCGATTTTGTCGTCTCTACAGTCAGTTGTTCAGTCTCGGGGAGTATGCTGAAGAATTCAGCCGTGCTTTCTCGAAACACATCCGCATTCTCAATAGCTTTCATTTTGTAGGTGCAACAAATCGACAGCTGGTCTATTGAAAACTTGCGATGCAAATAATTTTTTTTTCAGTTATGTCATCAATATTTGCTATAGCACAAGTGCAATTTTGACGTTTTAGGTCCGCATCAATCATAATAGTAATAATGATGATGATGATGATAATGGTGATAATGATGACAATGATGATGATGATGATGATGATGATGATGATGATGATGATGATGATGATGATAATGGTGATGATGAATAATTACCTAGAAGGTAATTCAACACTAAGTTGTAACAAAATTCAAAGCACCATGGATATTTATTACTCACATGAGGTAGCAGCACAATGTGCAATGCTGTCAGTTTGAATGGGTTTTAACAAAAGTTAACAATAGAGCCTAAAATTACAGTCTAAATGTGCTCGCGTGCTAGCAAAGGTATACCATATCCGGTTCACCCGCGATAAACTTTAAACCAACTTGGATAACAAGCTACAGAAATACTACTAGAAGTAGTTCCAACCCTTTTGCCCGAACCCGTGGTCTTCCTGGTAATATAGTAATATTAGGTACTTTTGGGCGCAGTACACCCGTCGAACAATCGAATCGCTGGAAGACCACAATGGCTGAATCCCCAATTGCTTCTGTCTGACTTCCGTTCACTGTTTCTACCTCTCTGTTATTCACTGGCTGCTATTGTTAAGAATTTTCCTCTAATTCAATCTTCAGATGAAAAGCTTTAATAATTTATTTCTGACTGTTTAAGTACTAATTACCTTCCGGCCATCGATAATTAGTGGTCTAGTAATAGCAAACATGGATAATTTACCGTAAAAACCGCTCTAGCGCAAAGAACTTTAGAAAATTCTTACTACATGCGAGAAAGAGCAGTGCCACAGTGGCCCCTAGCGGTGACTTTTAGAATTAAACTTTTTTTTGGAGTCCGTACGTTAGTATAATTCGATTTTTGGACTTTTTAACGAAATCGTAAAAGTAAGTTTTGTGAATCGAGTGTTTAAAGCGAAAAAATATGACGTGGATTATTTACTAGCGGCACTTAGTCTTTATTGATCACATCACGTTTCTCCTGGCGTAAGCATAACTTTTTCTAGTTGTTGTTTGCTTCAATATTGCGGAAAGTTATCGCCCGATGCTACCACCAGACATAATGCCAGAGCTCAGCAAAACACATGGGTGGTAAAAAACTTTTAATATTGTCTGTTTGTGTGTGTGTGTGTGTGTGTGTGTGTGGGTCAGCGTAAAAAAAAATAGTTCTTTTTTAAAGTAACAACAGCAATATTCGTTGAAATCATCATGAGTAATGAGTAATGAGTAACGACTTGTTATTAAATTGGTTTGACGAGAAGGAGGAGAAGGAAAGAGTGACGTCAACTGGAACTAGTAGCAAAGTAAACTTTTAAAGAGAATTTATTTATTTAACATGGTAACAAGGTTTGATGGTACCACGTTGATGCTTCCACTGGTTAATATATATTTTTATGCTCATCTTTGTGAAGTTCATGTATATGCGATGTGAATAACCAATTAGGCGCTGGGTACGGTAAAAATATTACTCGCTTTTATGTTCCGGGAGTGAAACATCCTTCAAATGGGAAAACTTTTTTATTCTGCTGCTAGTTTGTGAGAATCAAATTAGTTGTAAATAAATTTTTAATGGGTTGCTTCTGGGAATAAAAAAAAGGTGTTGGATTTCTGCTTCAAGTTATTTGCCGCGAAATTGGAGATACTTGAGCAATCACTGCCTGTTGATAGCTGAAAACAAAAGCTGAGTTTCCTGGGGTAATTTTTATCAAGTAAAATTGATTATTTTTCAACCACCAATTTCTGACGGTACAGCACATGTTTCTCGAACGAAAACGTTGATAATGGATGGAGAGAGATGTATGCGTCACTTATGACGTGTATCCATCATAAAAGTACGCCAGCGGGGCTAACAGCAAGTTGTTCTGTTCATTTATTTGCAACTTTTGTAAAAGCCGGGCTTTTAATTGGCTTTTCAAAAAATGGATACAGAAATCCACCCGAAAACACCATTTAGAAATCTAGATATGAATTTTTTTGGTAAAGCTGTACACTATCACCAGAATTTCTCGCGATCGATTATCTGCAGCTGTACAACTCTGGATTATTATTTTCAGCATAAAATTTACGCTCATTCGTGACTGTCAAATCGACATGGTGCATTAAAAAAAAAAATAACTAAAAATTCGCAAGTAACTAGTGATACCACCCCGAACTAGATTAGTCGTGAATTCTATGGAAAATGTACCAACCATTTGTAAATTTTCCGCACGCGCGAGATTTTACAATTCCAAACAAAGCAAATGACAGCAACAGGAAAGTTAATGGGTAAATAAAACACGAAATTTAATTTTCTCTATTGCTACCTACCAGCATTCCCGAATAGTGCCATTAATGACAGTTGATTTGTGAGTGCAATTCAAATTTAACAGGGTTTTTTTTTTTTTTTTTTGGTTTTGTTTTGTCTAATTTAATTAGAAAAAGTTGCAACACAAGTGTCAACGTGACCGTAAATAAGAATAATAGGGCATATTGTTATGGAGCTTATGGAGCATATCGCATACGGGTGTGTAACATATAAACCCATTGTAGCCACATCGCGGGGATCACTGTTCTACCGAAAAACCACAACATTCAACTGGTCGACCGCGGTGGTATCGACGTTACTCGGTACTTCCAAATGAACAACGAAAACGGGAGATTCACGCCCGGAAAATACCGGGGGATTTGACATACAAATATTAACCCCCCCTACCCCTACCTTCCCTCCTGGTACTTCCTAGAATAACATTACGGTTTATGGCCGCATTGGACGGTTAAATTTACACGGCTCTATTTATGGATTCCGTGGGTGCCGCTGAATACTAACGGAACAATAGAGTCCACCTAAATAACGGGGTTTGAGCAAAACTACCGACTTGCCGTGTTTTGTTTAGGATTTACGGCAAAAAAGGTCTTTAGTATCTCTAATTAATGTTTCAAAACTCAAAAATAGTGAATAAGTTTCTGAAATTACCTCTTAGGACCCTAAAAACATGCTTTAGAGCTAAAATTCACAAAAAGTCACTTCCACTTGCGAGAAGGAGCAGCGCCACGGTGACCCCTAGCGGTAAACTTTGGAACTAACAGTTTTTTCTTTTTTTCTGAACCCTGAAGATCTTAGGATTGATAAATGACGACTTTTATGATAATTCGTTAACTAGTTTTAGTTATTTTTAAAAAAGAGTGATAAAAAATGAAATTTTTTTTAAAATATAACGCTGGAACGGTGAAATGTGGCTTAAGCGTAACGTCGAGCACTCAGTCTTACCCTCCGGGTGTATCTTGCGTATCCAGCTGTCTATCAATCACAGTAAGCAGTGAGAGTTCCAAGTGACAGTCAGTGGATACGTCAAGACCTTCATCCAACGAAAATAACTAGTCTATCGGCAGAATAAGATCCATATAAGACTTTTATATTTTAACGTTATTGATCGGATGAAAAAAAGTCTATGGAGTAATAAAAAAAATTTTATAATTGGAAGTGTATTATATTTTGTTAACAAAGCACACAAATTGAAATAAAATTCGCAGTGTGTGCTCGTTACGTTTTACAAACTAAATTAGAGAAAATTGAATTGAAATCGGATTAACATCACCAAGGAAAATCCCTCGGATTTATATGTGATGCTGGGTGTTACCTAAAGGTTAACATAAAATAAATAAACACAAATAGGAGCGAATGTTTTTTTGCTGTAATAGGGAGTGCAGAATATTTAAAATTTAAAATTGGTGAATAATTGACAACCAGGGTTACTGCAATTTAGCTTATGTGTTAATTATTATATCAAAGAAATCATCCAGGTCTGATGAAAATTTCACAAGAGTACCGTTAACGACCGACACATTTTTGGTATTATCATGATTGGTGACAACTGCATAAGTGTAGGTCGAGAAGCCTATCATCACTTGATCATCCGCGTTTCGTAACTTACAAACAATGGGACTTCCCATAAAGCGCTGAAAAATAAGCAGAGATTATCGTTGTCATGGTGATTATAGCTTAGTGATTTACGATTGGTAGCGTGGAATCACTTGTTGAAATTACATCGCCATCTTCATCTACACACCGTACAAAAAAACAATCAACGTTATTCGTCATTTTGGCTTCTTCAGATTCAGCCATACCGAAGCGATCTGGGTTGAGGGATACTTGGAATTTAAAATTTAACACTCCTTAAAAAAATATTTGTAATGCTAATTTGTTGCTCTATTCAAAATTAGGGTTGCTTGACAACGCTTTTCTATTAAAACCATCATGGATTGATTTAATCGAGTTTACATTACCTGCATCAGGAATTTCATCTTTTCCTCCCTGATATGTAGCATATGAAACAATCGCTTGCCAATGATGAATCACAATCATCAGGATCGAAATCATCATTCCTGTTAGCCAATCTTATGGGGCTAACTATGGTACTAAGTTTCAAAGGCGTTGACAATAATAAAATAACCGGGTCACCTTCGTTAAAATGATTGGGATCATCATTAGGCGGGAAATACATTAAAATAACAGGGTAGATGTCACAATCGACCCAGCCTATGAGTGAGCAGTTGGTGAAGACTATCAAATTCTCGACTGGCGTCCTGAGAACACAAACATTTTATTTGCTGATACATCGATGATGATGATAATGACATCATCATCATTATAACAGGTAAATCTTACTTGGATACGGCGGCTGCTAAAGTAAGGATCAAGTCTGATTTGATTACTGCTCCGTAACTTAGTCCTAAAGACATGATCAAGGATGATTAAATTTGCCGAGTGGAGATTGATGATCGATGATAATGATAGCTAAAATATTACCTTGTACCGAACTATCTCGTTGGTCTGTTGGTGCATATTAATATACACCAATAGAGGGCAAAAGTCTAAGGTCAAAAATATAGTGACGCAACAGCATGTATTTAAAAAAAAAATAACATGATACAGAAATGATAAATTAAAAATTCTTTAATTTTCACTGAAGGAAGCCTTCAGATAATTATGTCCAAGTAGCCAGGTTTGTTGAAGTCATCAAGGTCATGCGTAAAGTCAAACACCGTTCCTTCAATTAATTCCACTTCATTCCGAGCAGCGTCCCATTTGTGAGGAATTTTATAGACCATGGTGGAAAAACCGATTAGCACAACATCTGACTCATCTCTCATCCAGCAAGCAATAGAGCTTCCCTTGAAATTCTAAAAGATTCATCGATTACTTCCAAATGTTAATTAATCTCTTTTTTATGCTCACCACTCGCCTTGTCTTCGTAAATTCATCTTCATGTCCAGTATAATTCCCAAAAACGCTGTCAAATTCGATGGTCATATATACTTTTGACAAGTAATAAAATCCAAAATAATCAGGATTTATCGAGAATCTGAATTCATTATGTCGGAATCCTCCTTTTTCAGGGCCCATGTTATCGCCGGCGTAGAACGATACAACAGGAGTCATATGATGAATGATGCAATCTTCTGGGTCCCACTCATCATCAGGAGCCGCCAGCTTGATGGCATCGACCGTATCAGTAAATTTCAGAGGTTCGAACAATCTCAAGATTGCCCAGTCGCTTTCTTTGATGTTGTTTTCATCAAAATTTTTCGAATGGAAGATAGCGTCTACTGTCACGTTGTCACAAATGATTGTCAAGGCCACATTGCACTCTGTAAGCACCAGCAATTTTTCTTATGATGCCCTGAAAAGAATTCATTTTAGATAATTCTCCTATCAAGAAATTCATGTAGGTTTTTATTGAAATACCTGGCTATTAAGGCTGCTGGTGTCACCACAAGCTTCGGATGGATGATAGCTCCATAAGTTAGTGCTATTAAACCAAAAAAGTGATTAAATGTCTAAAAGATAGTTTCTTAAGTGAAAGGTTACCTTTGATGTCTTCTAATTGTAGTGTTGGTTGATCAGTAACTAGCACTAGCCATGGTGAGTCTTTGTTATCGTCGAGGATCTTTTCAATTGGACGAGACGTTATAACACTACAGCCTTTAGAAACTTCTATTAACATTGCCATTGATGTGACTAGCGCCCAAAAGACCCAATTGGTGGACATTTTTGCGTAATATACTGATTCTCTAGTAATATGCAAGGAAACTTTGTACATACGAGTCGGTGATAAGGAATTAGACGGCTAGTCATGCAAGGTAATTGGCTGGAATGATAGCCAAGTAATTTTGCTATTAGTATGCGTATACTTATATTAAAAACATACATGAAGCTATTTGTTATGAGAATATCGTAAAATATTCAATATTAAACATTTTTAATTATTGTTACCACACCAAAGTACAACGAAATATTACAAGTAATTATTTTCTCGGCTTTCGGAAATTTCACGGAACATATTTGTCAAGAGCAATTCATTATTGTTGTCGAATCTGACAAAACCACCGCTTCGATATTTAGCACGCGAATCATCATTGTTTAGGGCCTCGTAAACAATAGTCGCAAATCCGACTTGAACTGGCGTCCCGTCTTCAAGCTGGCAGACAATTGGACTCTTTTTAAATTGTTAAATTGGAACAAAAAAAACCCTAATATAGATCGTAGTGAAATGGCTCACTCGTTTCCGTTATGGTCTTTATTGTTGTTGAATAATCGAATGAGCTCGATTGGGGCATAATTAGCAAGTGGTAGATCTGGCAAGCTTTGTCATATTTATCATAATCGTAGGCCAATTTAATGAAATTTACTCTTTCAGTCGCGACAAATGGTATTTGTGTCATCAAAATAACCCAATCCTCGATCGTTTTCTTCTTGCTCTTTAATCTACTGGAATCAATTATATCTATTACTCTCCGCGAAGAACATTTTACGTATTTATTCGTAGCTGTGCACTTCGTTTTAATTCTCAAATTTTTCATTTCCGAGCTGCAAAATGTAGATTAATATGGTTAACTCAAAATTACGGATCAAATATTGGAGATATGGAAAAATCGTAAAAAATCTAAGGTTAAAGTTACGACATACTTAGCTACGGAATAACCAGCTGTTAACGCTAATCTCTCGTGTATTAACGATCCGTAGGCTTGACCTGCCAATTCTCGAGTTTTAGCGGCTTCCGAAGTCAAATCGACAATAAAAACCAACCAGGGCGATTTATAATTTTCTTCAAGTAACTCTTCGATTGGACGATCTGTTAAAACTTGACAACAAAAACAGCCTTCTATTAATATCAAAAGAGATATTAATACTTTACTTTCCGTAACATTAAATAATTAGTTTTCAGCAGAGTTTATTTATTCACTGATAAATATTAACAATCTACTCATCGACAACTTAAGTATTCAACTACTGACGTTAAGTGGCTCTCGTCAATTGCAGCAATTTTGTTATCTGCTTACTTACCTGCACGATTTGATAAGTATAACAATTATGTTATTTTCTATCACTATCACTCACCAGAACCTCTAATTGAGGTTTCATTTTTAGATGGCACGTGTTGATATACTAAGAAACAGGTTATGGACCCGGATTTTGTAGGGACCTTCAGGATGGTACTTAAATCGTAAAGTTACAAAGAATCGGATCAATTGGTCGATTAATTTCTGAGTTATAGGCATTGCAAAATCAACCTATTCAACTGGTTATGGACCCGATAAACTTAAAATTAAAATTCTGCGACAAATTCTGTTTCAAGATCCATTAAATATTCTCATTTATCAATGCTAAAACACTTTAAATAAATAATGACAAGTTATTGATTTTTCCCGGTATAAATATCAATAAGAAAATCCAGGTACTTTTCTTTATCATTTAAGAATCTGATAAAATCACCGCTATAATATTTAACAACCCCATCATTTTTGCCATGGATTTCGTAAACCATAGTCGAAAAGCCAACTTGAACTGGAGTTCCGTCTTCAAGCGGGCACACAATGGGAGTTCCAAAGAAACTCTAGAAGATTAAAACAGTTAACCTACTGTCGATAACAAATATATCGGTAAGTTACCGACTGAAGGTATCTTACGAGTTTCCTTATTGTTTCTTCAGCCGACCAATTTTCTTCAACGCATTGTTCAACTATGCAATCCAAGTCTCCACCCATCTTTACAATTCCTTCCTCGGTAAGTTTGAATTTTTCCTTATTTAGAGTTACATTGTAGGGATAATTCACAATCCCTGAAGAATTTTTAGATTAAAATTAAAAAAATTATAACCTAATGTACTTCGGTAGCTTACCCGTGCTTATTGCATATTTATTATCATAGAATTGATCAGTATACGATGATGTAACAACTTGCCAGTGATAAATTTTACAATTTTCATCAACTTTATCACCACTGCCAGCTAAATTAATAACATTTATTCTGTCACTGAGTTCATATGGTCTCTCTAAAAGTAACATAACCCAATCATTAACAGATTTTTCCTTTTCTTTTATTGCCCAAGCCGCGGTCGTGAATATAACTTTTCGCATATCATATTTTACGTCTTTTTTACTAACAACTGTCATATTTGCTATAACTTCCAAATCATCGGGCTTTGCGCTGTAAAATGACGTATAATTAAAGCGTATCTCTACTCTATAAAAAATAAATTATTATAGTTAAACTTAATACTTAAGTAATGGATAATTAGTAGACAACACTAATTTCGGATGTATAAACGATCCGTAACACTGGCTGTTAAAGCCTAGTGTAAAATCTCGTTGCTTAGTCAAATCAATGATGACAACTATCCAGGGCGATTTTTTATTTTCTTCAGTTAATTCTTCGATTGGACGATCTGTTGTAACTTGACAGCAAAGACAGCTTTCTATTAATATCAACAGAGATATTAACACTTTCATTTTCAAATAATTCATTCTCAACAGAGTTTTTTTATTTAACAATAAACATTAACAACACACTCATAAACTAATATAGTCGACTACCGAGGTAAAGTCATTTGTTTTTTTTTTTCATTGCAGCAATTTGGTTATCTATATTTTTATCCGCACGGGTTGATAAGTACAACAATTATATTTTTTTTCCACTTCTATACACTGTCTCCTCGAACTAAAGTTTCACTTTTAGATAGCACTTGTTGGTATTCTTTAAAAAACAGATTATGAGCCCGAATTTATTATAGGGACGTTTGGGATGCTCGTTGTTTTAATTGTTACAAATAATTGGATCAATTGGTCGGTTAGTTTTTATGTTATAAGCATCGCAAGGTCAAACCATTTAACAGGTTATGGGCTCGATAAACAAAATTTCAATTCTGGGTCATATATTGGCGTTGCAAAAAAATAATAGAACAACTAAACAGCCATAAATCAAGAATTTTTTGAGATTCATTAAATATTTTTATTATATTAATGTTGAAACGCTTTAACAGAATAATTACAAATTTTTAATTCATAATGATTAAAGCATTAATAGAAAAATCCATAAACATTTCTTTATCGTCTAAGAATCTGACAAAACCACCGCTATGATAGTTAATAACCTCATCAGCATATTCACCATCTACCTCGTAAACAATTGTCGAAAAGCCAACTTGAACTGGAGTTCCGTCTTCGAGTGGGCATACAATTGGAGTTCCCATGAAACTCTAGAACATTAAAGATTTAACCAATTGTCGATAACAAATCTGTCGGTAAGTTACCGACCGAAGGTATCTTACAAGGTGTCTTCGTAGTTTTTCAGCCCATTGATCTTCAACGCATTTTGCAACTACGCAATCCAAATCTTTACCCATCTGTGCAATTTCTTCTTCACGCAATTCGAATTCACCCTCATTGAGTGTTAAATTATACGGATAATGCACCATAGCTTTAGAATATTTATATTAAAATTTTAAAAAATTTATAACCTTATTGATTTTGATAGCTTACCTGTGTTTTTTTCTTTATAGGGATTAAAATACGATGTGACAATTTGCCAATGATAAATTTTACAATTTTCATCAAATTTGTCATCACCGTCGGCCAAGTTAATAATATTAATTCTGTCATCCAGAATAAATGGTTTCTCTAAAGTTAAGATAGCCCAATCATCGATGGATTGTTCCGTTTGTTTTAATACACTGGCATCGGTAATGAATCTTACTTTTCGCATTTGAAATTTCGGATCTTCATTAGCAGTAGATGTAAGATTTGTTATTACCTCCAAATTTTTGGGCTCTGAACTGTAAAATAACGTGTAATTTAAGCGTATATCTACTTAAAGATTAAAGAAATATTAATGGTTAGAATAGAAACATACTTAGCTAAAGGATAAGCAGAAGTCAACACTAATTTCTCGTGTATAAGCGATCCGTAACATTCGGCTCTAATTCCGTCGAAATCATGATATTTCGTAGTTGCATCAGATACAATAACCATCCAGGGTGATTTTTTATTTCCTTCAATTGCTTCTTCAATTGGACGATCTGTTGTAACTTGACAACAAAGATAGCCTTCAATTAATATCAAAATAGATATTAATACGGTTATTTTCCATGACATCGAATAGTTCATTTTCAATAGAATTATTTCAACTAACGATATAGATTAACCGCACGATCGTCAATAACTTAAATATTCGTGATCCGAAGTAATTTTTTTTTGTAATTGCAGCAATTTGGTTATCCATATTCTTATTTTCACTGGAAAATAATTGTAACAATTATATTTTTTTTCCTCGTTTCTACACGATCTTCGTGCACGAAAATTTTCCTTTTAGATAGCACTTTAAAAAACAGGTTATGCATCCGGATTGTTTATAGGGACCTTTGAGATGCTAATTGTTGTTACAAATAATTAGATCAATTTGGCCGGTTAGTTTTTGAGTTATATTATATGCATTGCAAGATCGAATTATTTAACAGGTTATGGAGCCCATGCCCGATAAACTTAAAAATAAATATTTTGGGTAAAAAATTGGAGATACGAAAAAATTATAAAAGTTTTTATATAGAAATTTTGATTTTCTATCAAAAGTTATTCTATTAATTTTTTATCAGTCAGAAATCGAGGTTAAAGATAGAATAACAGAAAACTTGATAATTACTTACCGGGATTGACGGCGTTGCAATGATTGAGGAGCGGCAACCAGCAGATGAGTAGTACCGCCCTCTGCATCTAAAAGTAAACATAAAAAAAAATTTCAATTAATAAAATCCCAACAATTGCAATGGCAAACAAAAAAATAAAATAATAACTAGAATTCATATTTACATCGGCGACCATTAACCAAATATAAACATTTTTTTTCCGGTACTTTTAATTAAAAATGAACGAACAAACACGTGATTGATAGTACAGAGACAACAAACCCTCCGAATGGGAAAAAACAAAGTGGGATTATCTGCTGTGGATCGACGTATGGAAAACAAAGGGTTGTTTTCACCAAAAAGGAGAAAGATAGACTCGAGTGTCCGGCAGAATGAAGAAGTGTTGTGATCGATCACAAAAAATAACTTCACAATGGAATTTCTTCTGGCAAACACTCAAAAATTTCCCAAATATTCTCCGTGAACTTGTCCCTGAACAATTTATTCCTCTGAAACTGGCTGCTGACAAACTGATCCCTCTTCTCGCCATAGATGACATCCTCCATAAATTCAGAAGATTCAGCCAGCTGCTTGCAAGCTTGGTCATCTAGGAGAGTCATCTGGAGCCCAAAGACATTGTACATCATCCCCCAAGGTCTAGCCTCTTTACACGAATCCCTAAAGTCATCCCAGGGCAATACATCATCAACATCCAGACCTTTTTCTTTTAAAAACTTCCCAATGTCCTCATAGTACCCCTTGACCAGTTGATCAAAGAGTTTGTCCCTGACAGTGCGACTGGTGTTCAAATACATCGCCACCACTAAATCCATCGCTGGATTAACATAGCTGTAGTACTGGAAGTCTATCAACCTGCAATCCACCAGCTTGTCGTCCACTTTCTTGAACATGAAGTTAGCTGACCAAACATCGCGGTGGCAAATGACATTCCGGTGCTTCTTGGAAGGCTCCAAAGCTTCTAATATTCTACCTGCCCAACGGAGAACCTTGTCCTTGGTATTCTGTCTTGCTTCCGGCGGCAGGACCAGGTCAATCAAGCAGCAGATTCCTTTTAAAGCAGACACCTGGTACATCATGGACCTTCCGGAGTCCTTGAACAGGTTCTCCTTAAGCGTTTCCGTCCAGGAATCCAGCAGAGACACCTTGTTCTGCTCCTCGAAGATCAACGACCTGGAATGAAGCTTAGCGAAGCATCTGAAAAGACACTCGAAGGTTGGAACATCAAAGTCCAGGTGCTTGTTCAGCGTTGCAAACGTCTGGCAAGCTAAATCTTCCATCACAATTACGTCCTGCTTCAAGAGGTAGCAGTCTGGCGCCCACTTGGATGGTTCCTCGTTGCCAATTTTAGGTAGGATTTCGTCGTACATGATGATCTCCTTACTAAAGACTCCATGTTGTAGGATAAACTCTCTCTGGGGCCCTTCCGGAGGCAGAGTTTTTACAAAGAAGCTTAAGTTAGTGCTCAAGGTCACTGATAGGCGGTAATAAGTCCCCATGAATCCACTTGTGGTAGATATTTTCTCCAGGCTCCAGGTTGGGTTCACCAATCTAGATCCTGTTTTCCTGAAAACAATTTCCACTACGTCGGTATCATCAATGACACTTGCAGACTGGATCAGTGGCATTGAATTGGTAATCACTTTAAAGCAGCTGTTGATTTGGAAATCACTGTAATCACTGTCTCGATAACGCGTTGTTACCCAGCTGAGTAACTGGCAGAACTGCCGATCAAAGAGCACTTGGTTGATGCTCCCCTACCATCGGGTAATTGATTGGGTGGCGGGAGGAGAAAGTTGCATTCTGTTTTTTTTCAAGGTTTAGCTGAGCAAATTCTGGACTTTGATCTTTCCGATTCAAGATTTGTGATTAATAAAGGAAATATTGCTAGGTTTTATGATTTGAAGATTGTTTTTGAGGTGCTTTGACCTCGACCTTTAGGTACTTATCTTACTATTAGTCTTCTTTAGCACTTTTAGAGTAAAGGCTAAGTGAACTAAAGGGTAAGAACAAAAATAAAGTTAAAAAGCTCCTGGAAAGTAAAACAGTAACGCGTTAGCGTGAAAGACTCGGTTGGATGTATGTATATGTATATAGTGGCACCCTTTTCAGAACAGGTCGTTTAGAAAAAATATAAAAATACACCGGAAAGGTAGAGGAATATAGCTGAAAAGAGGATATGACAAAGCGCTCCCGTTTCAGGCTACTAAAACTATAGTTTTAATATGAAAAATGTGAAAAGTTTTACTGAGGATAATGTCGAGTTCTTTTCTGGCAAATCGCTGTCTTATTGATTACTCTTATCGCAAAATGCTGGTTTTTTTGGTTAATAGTTGCACTTTTGATGGATCTTCAAGTATTGGTGGTCAAATTTTTTGGCCATTAGTTCAAAATTTCAAACCAGTATTCTAAATTTAAAAAAACATATTTTCCGCATAAAAAGTGTTAATACTTGAATAGCTTAATTGATAATCAATAGAGTTTAAACAAGCAACGCATCCTTTGTTAGATTCGAACAATTTCCATTGACTACAATAGAACCCGAATTCGGACACATAAACCCTCGGCTCTTGGGTGTATTTTTCGTTAAAGAAAAGAAAAAAGTAAACTGGCAAAGAGAAAGAGTTAATTGACATGATGCAGGGGATTAGAGGAAGTCGAGCTTAATACAGAGGGAGTCTACAGTGTAATGTCGGGTCGCGTTAACGCCATCTAGTATTTAGTTGCCCAAGTGCGCAGTCTATCTCATCTTTGTGTTTATGTCTGCGTTACATCGCACACCAATTCCGTTTGTCTGTGCAAGTTTGAGTACACATATGGAGAATGCGTGGCTCTATTTACACATTAAATACAACACCGGACGTTATACGCCGGCCCTCTACTCAGGTATATTGCTTCGAACCTCACGATGAAAGCGAGTGAGAGCGACGGAAAGTCTAGAGAGAAAAGAGAGGCCTCCAGAAAATGAAATCCCAATCCCTATGCACTAAGCCACTATCTGAATACTCTCCGTGTTGCTAACTGCTGAGGCTTGTTTTATTGCTCCATAAACATGTCCGATGAGTTTGTATAATTATGTCTTTAATTGATTAACTGATTTTTATCTGGTGTCGAAAATTTCGTTTCTTTTATCAAATTTTACGTCTGAGTTAAATTTCGAATCAATAGATTGATAATTTTTATAGGTACACGAAAGAAATAGGAAAAACCGAAAAAAAAAAATGCATTTTTCACCTATTTTTCAGTTTTAAATAACGATAACTTTGAAACTAATCAACCGATTTCGATCGGGCTTGGAAAAATTGATTTCTTGTATCAATCTGTAGGTTTTCATAGAATTTCAAATCAATCGAGTGATTAGATTCACAGTTATACAATAAAAACCAAAAAAATAGAAAAAAATGTCGTTTTCACCTATTTTTTGGTCTTAAATGACGATAACTTTTAAACTAATTAGCCGATTTTGATCGGGCTTAGAAAAATCAATTTTTTGTATAAATCTTCAGCTTGTCATAGAATTTCAAATCGATCGATTGATTAGTTTCAAAGTTGCACCGAAAGAATACGTAAAATAGAGAAAAAATGACGTTTTCATCCATTTTCGAGTTTTGAATGGCGATAACTTTTGAACCAATCGACCGATTTTCATCGGTCTTGCAAAAATTAATCTGTTATGTCAATCCTTAGGTCATGATAAAATTTAAAATCAATCGATTAATAAGTTTTAAAGTTAGATAATTTTCCAAAAAGTAATTTTAATGATATCCCAAAACAAAATCAAACTCGACACCTGAATAATTAAAAGTTTATCTAGCGAGATTAACGAACAAACACCCGTAAATATTATATCCCGCGTTTGGAAGAAAACGAAGCGAGCGTCGGAGATCTATTGTACAACGCAGGTCATCAGCTATTAATGGCACATGGAGCCAGAGAGCACAATCTACATACTTGAGTAGGCGAGCCGGTAAGGCATTAGCGTTCGCGTTTAGCCAAACTCAGTCCTTCCCCTTCCATTCTCTTCACCGCCTGATTTTTGACTCGAAGAAACAAAGAGACACTCAGAAGAAAAAAAAAATAAACATACTGCCTTATTGTCAAGCATTGAACGTCCTGGATTCGAGAAAAGTTATTGCAATAGTGTACTTACCATCACAGATGGTCGGATTCCGCGACACATCTGAGGTCTGGGACTTTTATCTGGATTGGATGTTCACTGATGTTAGACAAATGAAAATGCCACTCCAATTCCCACTATATCCGCAACCTAGGTGAAGCAATGTCTCTAAATTGAAAGTGCGTTCAAGATACTCGACAATACTACTGAATAAAGACACAGAAGAGACAAGTCTAACAAAGACGAACACTTTTCCGAGCTTTGTCTGTTTCCTCTTGAGGTATTTCAACTCTACATAGCACGGATATTTATTTAATATCAAGATTTCGATCAAGGAACATCACCGCCCAGGTCTATAATTAGTAAGGACACTTGAAACACTTTGGACGGCCGAAATTATTGCTAAAAATGGCGGAGGGAGCAATTAAATCGACATCCTCAGTCCTCATTATGGTAATGATGATATACGTCTCTCGACTTCGTCTGCACCCACCACAATTGCTATTAAAGATCAATTACTGTCGGCACTCCATACTCTATCTACTCACGGTTCACTAACTACGTCCTACGTATGATCCTACGGCTCTTAACTTGACCCAATTGTTTGTTAAACTAATCCTAAAGACACTATAGTAGTCATAGAAGGGCTTGGATGATAAGATTCATGAATTTGCGCCTTTTGGGAGATATCCGACGGGACTTGAGGTGTTTTTCAGTCAATTCACCGAGTAGATTTAGAATTATTCCTAAAAACTATGAAAAACAGGGAAAAATACCGTTTTCACCCATTTTATAGGTTTAAATGACGATAATTTTAGAACTAATTGACCGATTTTGATCGAGGTTGAAAAAATCGATTTCTTGTATCAATCTGGAGGTTGTTATTGAATTTCAAATCAATCGATCGATTAGTTTTAATATGGCACGAAAAAAACACGAAAAATATCGTTTTCACCTATTTTTTTGGTTTAAATGACGATAACTTTTAAACTAATTAGCCGATTTTGATCGGGCTTGAAAAAATTGATTTTTTGTATCAATTTGAAAGTCATTGTAGAATTTAAAATCAATCGATTGATTAGTTGCAAAGTTGCACCGAAAAAATACGTAAAACAGGAAAAAATGACATTTTTACCCATTTTCTAGTTTTGAATGATGATAACTTTTGAACTAATCAACCGATTTTGATCGGGCTTAAAAACCTTTATTCATGGTATCAATCTTTAGGTTGTTATAGAACTTCGAATCAATCGATCGATTAGTTTCAAAGTTATACGATAAAAATCGAAAAAAAAATGTCGTTTTCACCCATTTTTTGATTTTAAATGATAACTTCTGAACTAATCATCCAATTTTGATCGGGCTTAAAAAAATTGATTCCTTGTATCATTCTTTAGCTCGTAATAAATTTTAAAGTCAATCTATGGTGTAGTTTCATAATAATTTCAAAAATTACAATTTTTTTGATAACGCTAAAGTTTCCACAAAATCCACCAGATTTTTTTTTGTGAATTCCATTCTCGAGTATATTTGTCCAGAAACATTTGATTTAATTGTTTGAATTACCAGTACAGTGGAATACATAGCGTATAATGTTATCAACTAAAGTTTTGTTGGCATGGAAAATTAACTCACGCAAACCTTATACCCAACATGCAGCTAAATACTGAATGTATAAGTTTTAAAATTAAATATTTATTGTTTAGTTACTGCAAATAGCCACTATTAAATACTTTTATAGTGGTTAAAAGTAAAAAATTGTTATTGTCAATTTGTTAATCATGAGTATAATAAATATTAAACTGACTATATTATTGAATGAGAATTAAAAATTTTTAAAATGGCGAATAAAAAAGTTTTTACAAAGCGACACTCGAGGAATAAATAAAACTTTTGTGTACCATCTAATTAGCCAACACAAGGTTGCTATATAAAAGTTGGCAATTAAATGAAAAATATAATAATATAATAGAAGAAAGCGAATAAGTTTATTTCTATTTAGCCGCGACTGGCTCTTCAAAGTGACAAATGCCGTATAAAAAACTTTTAAACTTTACCCAATATTTTATTCATTTCTATTTTAATTTCCTCCGATGTATATAATAAATAAATATCCATTTTTTTGTTCAAAAAAAAAAATAATAATTATAAATGAGGACATTATTGCTCATCCAATTAATTTTTTCTTACAAAAAAAACCGTGGAAAGATAATGAGGAAAAAAGATAAAAATTAACCTGCGGAAATTGATCTCACGTCTCAATGTAATTAACCAGTGACGTACAATACGAGAAATAAGTATTTTATTATTATTATTATTATTATCAGTCTTTATAATCAATATAATACCTCTAATAAATCGTGGAGTTTTTTTTACAACAGGACACCGGGAAATGGATGTTAGTGTCATCCTTCATTCCCTTTAAATTATTTTTTCCTTTGAGCTGAAGCAAGCCCGAGCATCCGCCCACTTGGCGAGTCGCCATTTCACTATCCACCGACTTCAACATCTTGTTTATTGATACATCTTCCACAAATAATGCTTTTTATTCATTTTTTAGCAATATCTCCACAAAAAGCGCCTCTGGCGGCGAAAATACGGAACTAAGAATCTTGGGATATAAATTTTTATAATCTACGGGAAATTTCCGAAAAAATGAGTACCCACACGACCCAATTGGCCGTATGTGACCATATGTGATTATATCTGGTCATATGACGTCACTTATGACATATATGATGATCATATGGGTTATATATGATCACATATGGTCACCTATGAGATAATATAGGCTTGTGGGTAGTCGTTGGATCGGGAATTTCAAGCAGATTAAAAGTGGTTAGAAATTTTTTAGTTATTTAAAAAATTTAAAGACTTATGCCTGGAAATTCAGAGGTGCGATAAATTTAAATAAATGAATTGAATAAAAAAAAAAAGTCTATAAGCTGAATTAAATAAAAATAGCAGTGATATTGTTATGAAGATAAATCAATAAATCAATAAAATCCTTTATAAGCCTCTAACGTCCGGATAAACGTATTTAAAAATAGACTAGTGTCCTCTTGTATCAATTTTCAATCCGGCACGAGGAGCTAGTGGCAAATTGACACCGCTATTGAGTCAATATTCTCCAATATATATATTAGAGATTATATAGGTATTATTATTATTATTGTTATTATTTTATTATATATGAAATACAGGGTATCCGTTTTATCTCAAGGAAAATGACAGCGGTTTATACTTATCCCGTTGGAAGTTGACGACTTTATCGCGCCATCTGCTCACTTACTGACGTAATGAAACAATAAAACGCCCGAGAACTTTTTATTTTATCAATAATATTTTTGTGACAAACAAAAAAGAGGAAAAGGTGACTGAGTTTCTCAAACTTTTGTATTGTGATAAATAATGGAGTTGGATTTTTCCAGCTATATTTTTTTTTACTTATACTAGTTATTATTTCTTTCTAAAAATCACGACCTAGATTCTTTATTTCTAATTGTAGTAATTAAATATTCCTAAAAACTATTCTAATATATTAGAATAGTTAAAATCTATTTTTTGATCAATATTCACGAATTCACGACGATATAAACTAAAAATAATAATTTTTTTGGTAAAATGTAGTTACAAATCGTTAAAAGTCCCCCAAAAACACAAAAAAATTGTTAGTTCCAAAAGTCACCGCTAGGTGACTAATTGGCGCTGTTCTTTCTCGCTTGCAGAAATAAATTTCTAGGGTATATAATAGTAAACTCGAATTTTTTTCTAAAAATCACGACCTAGATCCTTTATATCTAATTATAGTAATTAAATTTTCCCAAAAACTCAAAGTTACCTAGTAATAGATGTTAGAATAGTTAGAAGTCATTTTTTGATAAATATTTACGAATTAACGACGATATAAACTAAAAATATCAATTTTTTTGGTAAAATGTAATTAGAAACCGTTAAAGGCCCCTAAGAACGAAAAAATTTTTTAGTTCCAAATGTCGCCGCTAGGTGGCTAATTAGCGCTGTTCTTTCTCGCTTGCAGAAATAAATTTCTTGGGTATATAATAGTAAACTTGAATTTTTTCTTTATAAGGCATGATTACTGCCTTATAATCAATCGATCAAATATTTCTTTGAGTTGTAACATTTTAATCGACCAAATTTTTGGAAGAGAAAAAATTAAAAAATTCTTATATCCTCTCGTAACTCACGTTTATAAGATATAAAACTTTCCTCACAATGTGAAAAAATTAAACGCCTCAAGACACTTAAATTTAACGATCAACAAAGTAATAGTATCGATAAATTCGAAAGAACACTTGAAAAAATAAAAAACACAATAAAGAATTTTATCTATAAAAGTGATAGATTTTCCTTGGAGGTTAATTCCTCGCAAAAATTAAGAGTGAATGCCCAGTGAATAAGAAATGGTAATACGGGAATGGTGGAATAAAATAACCTGAATGCCAGTGGCATGTATCTTGCTTAGCTTAATGGATCACCCGTTATCAATTGACAAATCGGTCTCTAGGTGGTGTAATACAGCCGTTTTCCCATGACCGCACTTTCTCATTGTTCTAAACTTTTCGTCAGGGTTTTTTCCCTAATCCGACCCATCTATAATTCTCAATCTATGATTTTTGGTTGATATAAAGAAAAAAAATAAAAAATAAAAATAAATAATTTAATAGATTAGATACTAGGTGGGAAGAATCGATCCGGGTGGTAGGCCATGTCGATAGGTTATTAATGGGGTAGCCTAGCTGTGCATCGCCAGTTGAGTGCATTGTTGCTGATGCAATATACTCAGTATCTTATACTTCAGCGCCCTCCTCCTCCTCCTCTTCCTCTCTTTTCATCGTCCATATCTCTCAATTTAATACATGTCTTACAGTACCCCTGAGATGTTTTATCACGGCTCTCAATATTTATGTAGACCGCCGTCACAGCGGGACTATTCTTCAGCGAATCCCCGATGGATCCGGCTCTCATTTCTGGCATCGCTGTACACGTTGCGACACAATAACGCAATCTTGACCTTATGCATCTCCTCAATCTTCTATTATTAACCTTTTTGTGCTAAAGTATTGTCAGTTTAAAATTATTTTTATTTTTGATCAAACAGGTTATGGGGCCCAGAGCAATTTAGGGTGCCAAAGACTTTGAATTTAAATACTGGGATAAATATAGGAGCTATGGAAAAATTGTAAGATCTTTTTTTAGGGCATTAAATTTAATATCCAAAGATTTCTATCACTTTTTCGATATCTCTTATTATAGTTAAAAACGTTATTTAAAAATTGATTTTTTTGTGCCATTTTAAAACTAATCGATCGATTGATTTAGAATTCTAGGACAATCTACAGATTGACATAACAAATTAATTTTTTCAAGCCCGATCAAAATTAGATAATTGGATTAAAAGTTATCATTATTTAAAACTAGAAAATGCGTGAAAATGTCATTTTTTGCTGTTTTACATACTTTTTCGGTGCAACTTTGAAACTAATCGATCGATTGATTTGAAATTCTATGACAACTTCAGAATTGATACAAAAAATCACATTTTCCACGCCCGATCAAAATCGGGTGATAAGTTTTAAAGTTATCGTCATTTAAAACTAAAAAATAGGTGAAAATTACATTTTTTTTCGATTTTTTTGTGCCATTTTAAAATTAATCGACCGATTGATTTGAAATTCAATGACAACTTAAAAATTGATACCAAAAATAAAATTTTTCAAGTCCGATCAAAATTGGATGATTAATTCAAAAGTTATCATCATCTAAAACTAAACAAAAATACTAACAATAGGATTTTCCTCACAATACCGAGACAAATTTTTCGGGTGTATTGTGTCATTATTGTCATTATTATTTGTATTATTATTATTAAGTCGACTAGAACTTTGGATTAAAATGACTAGCAGCTTTGCGTACTCAGTCTTCCGTCAGCAGCATGATGAGCGTTTCCCATTTAGCTCCAACTTTTCATTTTGTTCTCTTCTTTCTTTCTACCCTTACCCTCGTCATCTTTTCTCCATCTTAAACTCCATCACCCGTTCCCCTATTTAATATTCCCGCTTCCGAAATCCCGTTCGTCTTGTTCGTCACTCAACACTCAACACTCAGCAATCCACATTGTGAGATATAAATTATTATTTCAGTCTAAGACTATTTTAAGCTTTATCACCTTCTTAAAACTGATCAACCCTCTTTGGAAAAAACAATGAATATAATAATATAAAATAATAACCCGATGGAATACCTCTTGGATCAGTCATTTTGCAAAGTAATTCCATTTCAAGGTAGCTTTTTTGATTTCCCGTGGCGGATTATCGGCCCGCTGGACAGCTCCTAAGGGACGTGTGTAATAAGATTTGAACCTTGATGTCAATTGGATTGCCGTGATATAAATTTCATGACTTTAGATCTAATATTGAACTTCAATTACAGAATAAAATTTATTGAAGGGTAAAAACATGACTAGAATTCTTATCCTACTATTAATAATTACATATTTACGTTGCATACCTGTGTTCCTACAGGTTATGGGTCCGGATTTTTCGTAGGGACCTTTGGGCTAATACTTTTCAACAAGTTACAAACAATTGGACCAATTGGTCAATTAGTTTTTGAGTTATAGTTATTGCAAAGTCAACTTGACACGTGAAGATCCAATCATAAAATAAGAAGCCGACTAACAGGTTATGGGCCCAGACTTTTTTAAGGTAATTTTAAAGGTCAAATTAAAAGTACCAAAAATTCATAAGAAACTTACAAAAATAACCTCAATTTCTCCTTAAAAACCGCGTAACTATTATTATTACCAATAAATTACTTCAGAATAATTAATATTGCGAATTGGAAAGGCTCAATAACCAGGGGTGGTTTCACCCAGACGAAACGGCGATAAGAGGTTTAGAGCAAAAGAACAAGTAACCTAACTAGAGATAGAAATAAGCACAGTTCTCTGCACACGGTTTTCCAAGTTTCTCAAGTTTCTGGAATTTCACGATGAGCATTCCTGATGCGGTGCCCCTTCTACTTTCTAAGCACTCTTTGCTCTTTACCCACTTTACCAATCCGTTTGATTATCACTACTTCTACGAGCTCAATCATCATAATGTATTTATCGAATAAGTTTTATTATTAAAAATTACTATTTACACCAATTAAATTAATATTAAGACACTAATTAACTAAAATTTTGAGTTCAAATTTTGTGATGACATTTCATTGTCTGGATCAGTTTCTAGTCTTAAAACTGCGCAATATGGCGGCGGGTTTGAAGTTATCGTCGCATAGGTGTCGTTTGGAAGTGCTAGTCTGGGCCCAACAGGTGGCACCTGCTCACCGATAACCGCTGAGTAAGATGGCGGCAGGTCGTTGATCCAAAAAGTTTGATACGCTGGAGGCTGGATGATCTAAAATAGAATTAAACAATTACATCCACTAAATAACAATTTTACTTCTTCAAAAAAAATTTACCTCCGTAAAGTCATCAACCGATCCAGATACAGTTTGAATTTGCCGGGTTCTAATCTCTGGATTGTCGACTGCAGCGCCATTGATATTCTCCTGGATGATACACTGTTCGTCCCTTTGATCCGGACGAACCTGACGTTTCATTTTGATGGCGTAAGCACACATCATCAAGAAAAGAAGCGTAAGAACTGTTAAAGCTATCCACATGTGCTTCCAGCGTAGCAAAATGGCGCCCAACATGGTCACAGCGACCCAGGATACCAGCAGAGTTGCCAGCGATCGCCCTGCACACTTTTGTTCCTAGAATTAGAAGTTTCAAGTCAGAGGGAGCTATTGGGAAAACAAGATAGGGTTTGTTGGAGTGATTTCATAGGTTAATAAGCGAAGACATACTCGGTATGCGTAAGTGTTGATACTATCGTCCATTGCTGTGACGTAGGTTATGACGTAAGAGGTTTAGTGGAAGTATATCTGCAAGAATAGAAGATTTGTGGTTTATAAGATGGTTATAGCTTTTTTCAGAGTGGGGTTAGTTGAAAATGGTTGAAATGTTAGTGCTGTTGGTGGGAGAAGGTCATGTGTGATTCATATATGGTCATATAAGTTATATACATTCAAGTTAAGTCATATGTGGCTTATATGTGACCTTATAAAGTCATATATAATTGAATTAAATCACATGTGATCATATTGAGCCATATATGGCTCATTTATGGCCATATAAAGTCATATATGGCTCATATGTGACCATATGAAGTCATATATAAATAAATTAGGTTACATGTGATCATATAGAGTCATATATGGCTCATATGTGGCCATAAAAGTCATATATAATTTTATAAGGTTACATGTAATCATATATGGCTCATATATGGCCATTTAAGTCATGTACAGTCAAATCAAATTATATATGGTTTATATGTGATCATATTGAGTCATTAGGTCACATGTGATCACATAAAGTAATATACAGCTCATATGTCGCCATATATAATGTCATAAACAATTATATTAGGTCACATGTGATCATATTGAGTCGTGTATATCCATATAAAGTTAAATTGAGTCATATATGGCTTGTATGTGATCATATGAAGTTGTGTGACTCATTTGTGATCATATAAACTCATATCTGACCATATAAAATCATATATAAACACATCATGTTAAATATGACCATATTAAGTCATATATGTGATCATAGAAAGTCATGTATCACTCACATGTGATTGTGTGAGCTAATATGTGATTGATATGTGACCATGTTAAGCCATATATGGATCACATAGGTCATATATATGATGATTTATAATTAAATAAGTGAAAGCTTAATAAAGCAATTGTTATTACAGAGATTTCTTAGTAATTAAACTAATATTAAGATAAATATTGTAAATAACTACTTACATGTTGGATAGGAGTAATAATATATATATTAGAAGCCATTGGTAAAGATCTGATGTCTGTCTCAGCTTCAAGATATGCGTGACGAAGTGAAAAATTTAGTGGCATTGATGATTATTTATTTAACAATTTATTTACAGTATTTATTCTTTAAACTCTTCTTCTTATTTTAATAATACTTGATTTTATTCCTTGAATAAACAATAATTCGTCCTGTATTTACCTGTTTTTAATATCAAAATATACAATATTAATAATATTATTTTATTTCATTTCTCGGTAAAATAATTTTTTTTTTTCTTTAAATTATTACATTTACATATATATGTATCGAGTAATTATTGAATTATAATTAGGCAAATAAGCTAAATATAATCTTGACATTAATTCTAATTAAATTATATTCGATCGATAATTTTTAATTTATTTCTTTACAGAAATTATTTTTTCTATAATTTATATATATTTTTTTAATCTGTTTAATTTTTATCATTAAAATTATCAGTAATGCATTTCAAGATAATAAGATTAAAATCAAGCTACGTCATGTAAGTCGTTGTGAAAATATTTTTAAATAATATCAAATTATTTTAAAAAAGAATAATACTAACAATTTTTTTTTTTACCCAAAAAGTCCAAAAAATTAATTTTTTTATTCACTTCTTATCACCCGCACTAAAATTTTTATTCATAGTTTAAATTATTGTAACAGCGAGGGCCAAACAATAAATACAGAAAAAAATGCTCCATAATTTTTGAAAAAAATTAAAAAAATTTTTTGGAGTTTGAAAAAATTAAATTAAAAAAAACCAAAAAAAAAAAACGAATTAAAGAACAAAAGCACACAGCTGATTGTGGAGTACTGAGAAAGGTAGAAGAAAAACTTGAGATCGTACCATTAAACGATTACTGATAACATTGATAAGATATCCCCTCTTCTTTGTTCTGTAAAACAAAGACGACAATTAAGACACGAGGGGATTTCTTAAAAAAGAAAATCCAATTGTAAGTTATCATGTAATCTAGTCAGCAATAAATCTAGCTTGTTATTTAAATAGCTAGTTTGTTAATTTGGATGAGAAGCACAGTGTGTATCACTAGATATACTTCAAAAAATATTGATATGGATTTGGACGATATCGTCAGCAATTCTAGAATCCGCGGAACGACACAATAGAATTTCAAGAGACAACTAGAGCTTTCAATCCGGAATTGATGCGTTGAATAGTGCTGACAGAAGGATTTGGATAAGCTGTTGAAGGCAAACATGCCTTCTTATTTACTCATTTGAGAAGTCCAATTGTTGTTGGAAAATGTTTTGCAAAATGGAAATAAAAGGCTGAGAATTGGCAACGATCCAGAAATCACGGATGGAACAACGTGGATAGGCGTCGTTATTTCACAGATTCGCACGGAGATAATCACATAATGACAAGTCTTGTTTTTTAAAACCTACTTTTATTTTTATGTTTGGAAAATCAACTTTGAATTGGAAATATTGGATTTACAAAAAAATTACAACAAACCCTATAAGTAGGATGTAATTCTCTATCAAAAAGGTCATCATTTTTTCTGCATCTTTATTATTTTCAAGGTAGGGGATAAAATAACAAGGCCATAACTAACAGGTTATGGGCCCAGACTTTTTAAGGTCATTTTAAAAGTAAAATTCCGGGTTAAATATGTTGAATTCCAAAGTACAATCCAATTCTTCTCATATACCTTTATAATTCCTTCCTGCAATTTACTAATGATTGTAATAGGATTTACAATGAGTTATAAACATCTAATTGTTATTAATCAACCAAACCCAAACATTATTATTAATATTTGCTACAGGTTATGGGCCCAGATTTTTTTAAGGTAATTTTAAAACTCAAATTCTGAGTTTTAGTAATTACACCTGTTCTCCAAATTTAACATCCTTCTATTATTTTCGATATCACAAAACCTCTATAAACCAACAATAAATTTTTCTCAATCCACCAGAAACTTAATAGATCTATCTCTCACCATGGGACAGTTTCCATTTTCCTCGACAATTCAGTCCTTTATCCAAAGAAAAGTCTGACTATTGTCGTAGGTGGATGCCACTAGCTACCACTCGAGCCGACAATTCTTGATAGTCTTGAAACTAAGGATCTGTTATAAAAGGGGAAGAAAACTTGGACTTCCTCCATCTTTAGTTGTGTCGTTAAAGTGCACCTCTTTTTTTTTTTTTCTAATCCCCGATTTTCGCTCTTATAGAATTTAAAAAATCATCAGAATTACTTCATGCATAAATAATCCCTCATTAAACTTCCAGGCTCGTTTGTGTACACTTTTATAAATTTTATCCACACTCATTTGATCTTTATTCTCGCCACTATTTCCTTTCGTTTATTATTCTCCTTCCGGTCTTTTCTTACGGTAGTTCCGTGAGTACAAAGGAACGCCGAACATTTTCCCGGCTTACCAACTCAAGTGTTGCCTTTTCAAGAAAAGCTTTATTTTCTTTTTTTAGTTCGCTTATCTAGGAAAATCTCCATAACAGGTATTTTTTTCAGAATCTTTTGATCTATGCGTTTCATTAAATACAAATAATTAATCATCTTTATTAATTCATTCAATATCGTGCCATAAAAAATTGCAGCCAAACGATATAAGAAATATCAAAAAATTAATAAGAAATTTTTCAGGTTATGGGGCCCAGTGCAATTTTGGACAAAGACTTTAAATTGTAATTCTGGGATAAATATTGGAGATACAAAAAAATCATAAGAAACCTTTTTTGTAGGGAATTAAATTTGCTATTAAAAAGGTCTGAATCATTTTTTTGATATCTCTTACCGTTTAGTCAGAATAAGCCTTCAAAGTTCTAACTACTTTACTAAAAAAAATGCAGTTTTATCAAAAATTCCTCTTTGGATGTTTTGTAAAAACGGATTGCATGTCACTGTACATAGACAGAAGGACATGTTGACCAGAATATCTGCACGTCCGTAAAGCGCCTGCAGAAATGACCCGCGAAAAATGAATAATGTTAAACATATTCAAGAGTGCTCATGAATTTTCAGCGTATATCTACCTAGGTTATTACGTATTAATTGTCCAACAGAGCACGACTGGTCAATCAATCATCCATCACCCATCAGGAGGTTCCACGTTCTCGATCAGTTAAACCTCCCTCTACACTGGATTTTATTCGCCCACCACCCACGTCATCCATGTCAGTTGCTACAAGCTTCCGGAGCACTTTCCAGCCCGACGAGCACGCCAGGGGTTGTTACCCTCGGCATTCTTTCTCTTTCTCACTCCGCGAATTCACGGGGTTGTTACACGTGTTGCGTGCTTTCGTGATCCCAAGTTACATAAATTCATCAACCCTTCACTAAAACACGCTCTTTTTCTCCACTATCCATCGCCACAAGCCCTTGCCCTTATCCATGACATTTTAAATTGTCTATCTCTATAACCCACCAATGATGACCCTAAAGTCATTTGATAACAGAGATGAAATTTCCAATTTGATAAATATTATCTTTATCATCATATTCGTTTATTTGTTTTGTATTTTCTGGAAATTATTGTTTGTTTATTCGGTTCAATTCATCCATGCTTGTGTTAATTTTTGTTAATTGACTGATCAAACAGAAATGAATCTTCTGGGATATCAACTCGGGAACAATATTTGTTAACGAAATATTATTATACAACCAAATATGATTTTCTAATAAAGAAAATATTTAAAAATTTTTAATTCTTCATTTTAAGGCTAATTTTTGGACTAAATATTAGAGATATAAAAAAAATAAAAAATTTTCTTAAAAGGAAATTTAATTTCCTACAAAAAAGGTTTCTTATCACTTTTTCCTATCTCCAATATTTAGCTAACAAATTACGATTTTAAATTTGCACTTATGTTAGGTTTATAAAAACACCGCTAGGTGTCGCATTGGCGTTTTTTTTCTCGCTTGCAGAAATAAATTTCCAAGATATTTTAGTTTTATACTGTCATATGTGTCCAATTGATCCAATTTTTTATAATTTAACAAGTAGTAGCTACGATTTTAAATTGCACTTATGTTAGGTTTATAAAATCCCAGCTAGGTGTCGCATTGGCGTTTTTTTTTCTCGCTTGCAGAAATAAATTTCCAAGATATTTTAGTTTCATATTGTCCTATGTGTCCAATTGATCCAATTCTTTGTAACTCAACGAAAAGTAGTAGCCCAAAAAAAATGTCTTGGGCCCCATAACCTGTTGGTTAACTAAAACCTACATATCTAAATTTAGGAGTCTTTTCCAATAATTTTACATTAATTACTAATTATTATCAACATATTTGACTAGCTACTCATAAATTAAGTATTATCATCGCAAAATTGACGGTAATTAAATTTACCGGATAAAGAGATCTTCCAAGTATCCGAAGAATCTCGTTGGAAGGAAGGTTAATCAATTCCTCGGTAACTGAAGTCTTGATAATAAAACCCAAGTATTTTCCCGATCCTCGGAACGCTCTAATTAACCTTCCGCGGTTAAAAAAAAAAGTTTTTAAAAATGTTTAGAGATGCATTACCATAATCTTGTTTGAGTGCTCACATCGTCACGGAAATGATGCTATAAATTAATTAATGTAAAGCAGAGTATGATGATGATCATTGAAAGCTCGGATAGATCAAACGATCCTTTGAAATTGTTCAGCATGTCGAGTATCATAATAATTAAGTGAAAATTAAATAGAGTCTTATGCAATTGTAGTGTTGATCCACGGGTACTCGATATTAATCTTCGTAGCAAATAATCAACAAGTGCTAAGTTTACAAGCTTAACATTGTTCAAAAATCGTTATTGTATCGTAGGTAATCGACTCACGCTGCAATTTATGCAACCCGGGGTATTAATTAACAGCTTGTAATTACATCACTGCTTCACGAAGCTCGGGAAAGTTTTATTCAAGTTTTAGACGAAAACGGCTAAATTGTACATTAGCATTCACTATTCTCCAAGTTTGAATTTTCGCATGTGCTAATTTTCATCTAAATTAATAAGATGATTATTGGCTTTTAAAATTCAATAAATTTATTTTTTTTATACTATAAAAAAACATTTCTTTAATTCATTTTAA